CACTCGAGCCGCTGCTCATTAACTAGCGATAATCGCGATTAAAACCCCGCTTGAGAGAAAAGAGAAAGTGAAAATGGCCGCTTACCCGAGGTCTCGTCCCCTCCGTCGTGGTTCGAGTTCAGTTCCTTTTTACCGACTTTAGCCGCTGAGGCAGACATGATTTCACTGATCACGACGAGAGGAGTTTTCAGCGAGAATCAAGCGCTGTGGTTTTTAAACTCGTTGAGGTAGAAGATCGTCCTCCTTGAGCTCGGTTTCTGGAAACTTGTAGTAGCACAAAAAGAGAAACGAGCGCTGCTCCGCACACAAACTTACCGCGAGGGAACGAACGCAGATTCTCACGCGCTCTTTCGGACAGAACGCGCCCCGCACGAGCTCGAAAAATGAGCTCCGCCCCTTCCAGAACAACCCGCCGAGCGCGACGTCGGTCCGCGGACCCGCTCTCTGATTGGCCGGCGCCAGTGGGAGCGGGGCGGGGCTTGGAACCGCTACAAAAAGGGCGGGATTTCAACGAAGCTCTCATAACATGTCACCTGAATGTAGATAAAATGGTTCTGGACAAACCAGCACTGCAAGTGAACACACAGGCCTGTGTTTAATCAATAGTATTTAAAGGGTTAGTTCACCCCAAAATGAAAATTCATGTCGTTCCAAACCCGTAAGACCTTCGTCTGAAGGCCTGAACGTTTTTAACGCAAAAATAAACAATAACACAATACATTTTGGGGTAATTTTACTGCATAAAGACATTTTTTTGTTTGTTTTAAATCATTTAAGTCATATTGAGGCCTAATTGGAAGTTTGCCCACCTCACAAATCCAAGTTTGCAGTTCATTTCAAGACGGATGTGAATAAATAAACTGAAAGTGGAGATCAGAAACCATTTAGGATGAATTGAGTTCATTCATTGAACCATTTTTTCTGGCTTATAAGAATAATTAATTAGAGCGCCAATAAACATTGTGTGCAAAAGTTGATTTAGTCACATATAAAATTAACTTAAACCAATAAAAAAGCAAGGGTTAACTGAAACTCTTGTGAGCTATACAAACCGTCTCTCATTATGTGAACAGATATATGCAACAAATGAGTAGAAAACAGACCAAAAACATCCTTCTCTTAATACCAAACACCCAGTAACTGTGGCACAGGATGATTAACGGCCTAATTAATTTATCAAGTAGATACTGTACATGTTCCCTGCAGGTTTACTACATAAAATGTGACCCTGGAGCACAAAACCAGTCATAAGGGTCCATTTTTTTGAAATTGAGTTTTATACATCATTGGAAAGCTGAATAAATATCTGAGGGTGCAAAAATATTATCAAAATATTGAGAAAATCACCTTTAATGTTGTCCAAATTAAGTTCTTAGCAATGCATATTACTAATCAAAAATTATGTTTTGATATATTTACGGTAGGACATTTACAAAATATCTTCATGGAACATGATCTTTACTTAATATCCTAATGATTTTTGGCATTAAAGAAAAATGGATAATTTTGATCCATGCCAATGTATTGTTGGTTATTGCTACAAATATACCCCAGCGACTTAAGACTAAGCTTTAGTGCTCCAGGGTCTCAAATGATGAAAATAACCACATCACATCAGTTTTAGTAAAAATACCATCAATGTTGGGTCTAAAGAGACGCTCTGAAGAGCTCAATAAAACACCCAGAGGTCGGATCTCTACACTTTTCCTTGTTGAAATGCAGTCATACAGTCCTGTTGGTGTGTCTGATGTAGATACTCTCCCATGCTACCGTCCCGCAGACGCAGACGCAGTGCCACAGGTTGCAGATGACTCCTCTGAACATGCTTAAACATGCACGCTTCAGGTTAACTCATAGTGCATTTGGTGCATTATAAAACTCTTTATTCTGAACCCAAATGGACTGTGAATAATCAGTTTTTCACAGCATCTCGGTGTTGACTGATAAACATCTAAACTTGATCGATAGAGTCGAGCGTGTAATGAGGGGAAAGTGCAAATCAGCTTAATGAATTGCTCCTGTGGGATCAATAAAGCTAAGGCATTGCTTACTGTATGCTTTACAGTATATACTGCAGCGCTTTTCAATATTTTAGATGCCACAGACCCCCAGATACGATCATCCTCGTGAGAGGGACCCCCATTCTAAACTTTAAAATAAAATATATTTCATGTATAAAGAACCAATTACTACTGTGAAAAATTAATATTGCAAATATGGGAAAATATGAAAATATTGAAAATATTTAGTTTCTGTTACTTAACATTATGACTTTTTTTTTCTGCACACTATAACACTGTTAAATGCATAAATAGATAATTAAATAAAATATGACTTGAATAATAATTTTATTTATTGTAATCTTTTGTTATTTCTTTTAATCACATTTATTTATTTAAATCAAATGTAATTTAATCCAAATGTACGTGTATTAGTATTAGTTATTTCAATAAAACTTTATTTAGTTATTTGAATTATTTTTTTCATTTTGATCACATCTTCTATCATCTTTTTTATTATTAATGTATTTAATTAATGTATGTTTTTAAGTCAAATTGAACTTATTTATTTTAATGAAATGTATTTATTTATTATTACAAATTATTTTTATCAGATGTATTTAGTTATTTTGTAAATAAAATTGTATTAATTCATTTGTAATAAACATTTTAATTTAGTTGTTATTTATTTAATTTGAATAATAAACTGAAATTATTTTATTTTTATTGTTATGTATTTATTTTTCATCACATTTGGTTTATTTAATCAAATTTTATTATTTTAATTATATTTATTTGGTAATTTATTTTAATGAAATTCGATGCATTTTAATTTTTTTTTTCAGTTTAATCAAATGTGTTTAGTCCGTTTGTTTAATCTTATTTGTATTTTTTTTTTTTTACACACATTTTATTTTCTACGGACCCCCTAGCACTTTCTTTGTGGCCCCCGGGGGTCCCCAGACCCCAATTTGAAAACCCCTGGCATAATGCATATAATATGTGAAACTGCATTATGCAATGCAAAATATTTCAGACAGAACATCTAACATATAACATATGAAGTTTAAAAAAACACATCAAATGCATGTTCTGTTCAGACTCACCTGTAAACCCAAAGATACTGCAACAGACTGCAGGTACAGCAGGAACCATTTGTGATTCCTCTCACCAACACAGCGGTCTATCCAGGGACAATGATGGTCAAAACGCCTCACATTTTACAATGCTTGGCCCTCATCGGTTGCAGGTTCACATATAATGAGAAACAAGAAAGACTGGACAGATTTTACTGGAGGAAACACACACACTTTTAAACACAACCTATATTAAGAACACTTAAAACATAGCTATACTATTAAGCATGCGAGTACTATTCTGTGTGCACTCTTATAATAAAATACATTAACATAAAGTAAACCAGTGTAAGCTCATTTCTAAGATGAAATCCCTGGTCATGTGTTTTTATGCCTTTGATTTTGTTATTGACATTTCCGGGTTGGTAAGATTAGACTTCAAAATAAAAGTCACGTTCCTTGTCAGATTTCAAAATACGATTCTTTTAGATATTAATTGTTCTAGAACTGCGTGGTTTATGTTTGTTAAATTAAACATTATAAAATTACATTTAAAAAGTAAAATGCCAGTGTCGTGTTCAAAATTGGAGAAAGATGGGGGTAGATGCAGTGATTTGACCTGCAGATGGCAATGTGTTCAAGCTCTGATCAGAACAAAGAGGCCTACATGAAACACACACTGCAGTTTAATTACAGAGATATGATCCATAACTGTTCAGAGACCAGGTCAAATCGAACTAGGACTGAACCCGTAATCTTGTGTAAATAGGTCAGATGGTGAAATATAATATTAGCCATTTCACCAGATTATGCAAGAAAGGCATCAGCAGATTTTAAAGTGTAGCATCTACGTATGTGTATATATATATATATAAACACACACATGTATATTTTTTATAGTTTTATAACTTTGTGCAATTTCCAGAATACATTCAAACTTTTTAATTTATTAATAGTTTAAATATTAAACAATTGGAATGTTTTTCAAAATGCTTGTAGTATACACATCAACTTGTTGAATTTAATGGAGTAATTTTTAATATTAAATAAAAACCATTTTAGTGACACACATGTAAATGATATAAAATTGGGAAGAATTTCTAAAAAGCAAAACCAAAGACAATATACTATGAATATTACATTTTTATTGAAAAAATAAATTACATTATTATTTTTTTTAATTATGAACTAAAAATGTAGCCACTCTGAAACATAAACACCGTTACAGTGAAAATCTCGGACTCATTCCCGAGAACATCCGTCTTAAAGCAGTTTCCAGTCCTTCAGATACAAACACAAATCTGTGCAGTTATACATGTTGAAATTAGTGTATTCAAAACCCCCAATACTGCAAGTAAGCATATAATGTGCATTTATTACTCGAACAAATGGTCCCCGTAACAAAACACTCACCCTCTGACAACGTTTACAGTCATTGCATTACATTCACAATTGACTAAAGCAATTAAAGTGCATTCGTCTTCAAATCAACCAGATATCATATTAAGGCAAAGCTAAGAACAACAGTGTGCTGATTTACAATAACCACAATTAAGATTAAATTAGACGGCACTGAAAAACACAAAAACACCGGCTTCCGAAACTCAGAGACCGTGCAACACATTCATTAAACTCTCAGATGCCACAACATACATAAATATCTGGTTATTATAAAGATGTAGAAATATATTACTTTAGTCAATATAAAGCAGCTTTAGTAAGAAACGGGCAATGAAACTTCAATCAGCATGAAATAATGCATTTGACAGTAGTTTGTAGTGTCAATTGAATTGCATTGCATTGCCCGACTGAATCATAACAGCACTCGACGACTCCTCGCTGTGGCACTTTACATGTATATGACCAAACACACACACACACACACAATAAACACTGGTCCCTGATTTCAGCTTCCGAACTTCTGTTTTACCGTTCTAGAACACTAAATAAATAATGAGATGTTTGTTAGCAGCGTCCTCGTCCTCGCTCACATTCACAGAATGAGATGGCCTCCACACCGCAAGGCTCAAAGCCTCGAGATTCACGGCCTCATCTTGACTGCACGCCTAACGTCGTCTTGATGTGCTCGTACACCACGTAGCTGATGCTGACGGCCGGGATGACCTTCAGGAAGTTTGGGGTCAGGCCCCGATAGAGACCCGTGGGGCCCTCGGTCTTCATGATCTGCTTGAAGAGTCCCGTCATTGAGACCTGAGACGCGCCTTCAACCGCAGCTGCAGAAATAAAAAACAATATTCAGTAAATGCATTAAAATGCACCATAAACTAGGGCTGCTTGACTATAGAAAAACCATAATTATTTTGGTCAATATCAAGAACATGATTTTTCATAAACTTTGGAAAAGTCGTGCATTAATTGAACTTAAAAAAAAAAATTGTCGTTTTTTTTTTTTTTACGGTGGATTTTCTTTAACTTTAAATACAATTAAACCAATAAATTAAAATGCATTTAATTAAATATATAATTAAAATATGCATTAAAAAATAGAACATAAAGTGTATTAAATAATATAAATAAAATGAATATTAAATATATGTTAAATTACACATGCATTAATAAATGTATTAAATATGATATAAATAAACATGTATAAGCTGCATTAATATTAAAAAGTATATTAAATAAAATGCCAAAAAATGTATTAAATATAAATATAATAGTGTATTAATATACAAGGAATTAAATAAAATGCATGTTAAATATTATATAAATATACATAAAATAAATGTATTAATGTTATATTAAATAGAATAAAATGTATTATTAAATAAAATACATACATTAAATAAATTAAATGTATTAAATATATAAATAAAATGTATATTAGATAAACTGTATTAAATAGAATATATTAAATAAGATTATTTACACCCATTATAAAGCATGAAACTCACCTTGCGCCTGCATGCGTGTTCGTACGAGAGCTAGCGGGTAGCTTGCGAGTTGGCCGCACGTGCTGGAAACCGTACCGCAGGCTAGCAGCACAAACACACCCGGATCCGCACTCTCCGTCCCATAGCGCTGGAGCCAAGTGTTCTTTAACGTCTATCAAGAGCAAAAGAGGAAATAAAATGAGCTCTTTCTGCTGGTGAGTGACAGCAGCAGCGATTGCTTTAGTTTGTGTTCCTCTGCTCACCTCATAGACGGCCAGGTCGATGCCAGCGTACGGGATGATGCCCAGCATGTTGGGGATGTAGCCTTTGTAGAACGCAGACACCCCCTCGCCCTTCAGGATCTGTTTGGCGCAGTCCGAGATGCCCTTGTACTGGCCCGTCTTTCTCAGCGCCAGACGGGTTTTCAGAACCTGAACAGAAGAGCATTGAGAGGTTTGATTTTTAACATCAGGCCAGCTTCATTTCCATGGCAAAACCCATGTCTGAGATACCAATGGAAATAGCAACTAAATAAAATCTTTAAGACCTATTTCCCCAGTTTAAGGTTGTTCTAACACTAAAATGGTGTAAAACGCACCTCCATGGGGTAGATGGCGCTCTGGGCGATGACTCCAGCCAGGGAACCTGCTAGGAAGCGCTCGGTGATCCCCAGAGTTTCCCGACTGCTTCCCATCAGCCGTTTGATCTGTTGAGGAAGAAACGTGACTGATTTAATCAAATGGCACTTATACACAAAGCACGCATGTGATCAGCTAAGAACAGAAATGGAAAACCTGTTTTTCCACATTCAATTTGACTATACAATAATAATAGTAATAGTGAACATTTTTTATTATCTATAAAAAGTATTACAATTGCAATGATACTGTATTATAGCAATAACAAAGAGTATAATAATTTACAAAACAGTAAATTTCTAATATTTATGACACATTCCTTGCCATCCTATCTTAGTATTATTGATATACTATTATAGTTTTTGTTAATATTTTGAATTAGATTTTATTTTTAGATTTTTGAATTAGATTTTATTTGTTTGCATTTCTAAATATTTTTAGTTATAATTTTGTAGTAAAAACATCTATTTTTAATTTTTAATAGGTTTTGTTTTAGCTTTTTTTTTTTTTTATGGGTTTATTCTTTTAGGTTTTATTAAGTTTTAGTTTATTTAATTTGAAATTATTTTAGCATTTCAACTTTGCTATGCTTTGGCAGCTAGTTTTTTTTTTATATTTTATTTCAATTATTCAGTTTTCAGTTATTTATTTTATTTTAAGTAATAAATATTTTTTATGGTTTTAGTTG